CTGAACTGGAATTCTTCCTTGAACTCCCCCGGGATGGTGGTACGGAAGGAGATGCTGATGGCCTGGAGCCCATCAGGTGCAATGATGCCCTGCTGGGGCAGGAAGGTGAAGCAGGAGCCCACGGCTGTAGTTGGAGGGATGAGGCTGAAGAGACCCTCAATAGGCCCTTTGTTAACCAGGATTGCCTGCAGCAGCAAGAAAGCAAGATGGAAACACATCAGCAATCTCCTTTCTTACAGAAGGCTGAGTTGGTTTTGAATTAAACAATTAACTGTTTTGCAGGAGGCCTCCCAGCTGATCTCCAAGGGCAGTTGCAAAAAACAGGGATGAGGGTGTCAGGAACAACAGACACACCTTTCAGACCCCATCAGAAAGATCCAGATTCTGTGGAATTTGCCCCAAATTTGACAAGTATCACTGGCCTGAGCTGCCAGAAATTCTGCAGGTCCGGCAGGCTCGCTGCTGCCCCAGGAGCCATCAGGATTCACCCCAACCCCTGCTGCTCACCTCATATCTGTGGAGTGATATGACAGAAACCTTCCCAATGTCCAGTTCCTCAAACTGGAAGTGGAGCCGGGGCCCAAGGCCTTCCCCTATGAGGCGCAGGGGCAGCCTGGTCTCACGGCCTGGGGAGAGATTTCTCTTTCAATGCAATAATTCCCTATATTATCCTGAGTTTTCCAGGCTGCCTCAGTGCTATTCCCTGACTTTGAGCTGGACAGAACCAGGTCCTGATTCTCCAGGAGAAGACATGGACCCTTCTCTTCCCTCAGGAGATATGTCAGTGGAAACCATCCTTTCTTCTACCCCTGTATTGACACCAGAGCTTTAGGAAGTGCCAGAAATTTTCCTCTTCCTCCTTCCAGGTTTATTTCCCTGTTTCAATTCTTTTTGCCCCCAGGGGACCTTAACTCTGGGACGATTTCTACCCTGAGTGCCCTCAGTGTGGGTGAGAGAGGCAGGAGAGAGGAGCCGTACCCGAGATGTCGCAGTAGACGGCGTGTTTGTACACTCGGGCTTCTCGGGGTCTGAAGATCACACTGATTTCTGCTGAAGAATTAGGCCAGATCTCTCCCTCCTAAAACACAAGGGGACAACAAATCTTTCACCTTCAAACATCACATGTCTTGTTTTCAGCCACAGCACTGTAAGCCTTTATTCAGAGCGCCAGTGACCAGCAACTCTTATCAGTCACATTGATAAGAGAGATTGGAAGATTTAGGCAGGTTCCTGCAGCCTGCAGGGCAGAAATGCTTTGTGCAACAAGCTCTCCCAGCCTCACAAGAAAGCCAGGGTCTTCCCTCTCAGCACATCAAGCCAGCTGAGGTGGGAATCTGCCAAGTGACCTCATGCAAGGGAGGAGGAGGAGGAAGAGGAAGGGAGGTTCTCAGCCATCAGCTACCTCAGGTATCACTTACCACCGGTTTAAGAGTGAAAATGTCATCAAAGAACAGCATGGGATCCCCTTGCACCTTTGCCCTCTCACTCTGGAAGATGTGGGAGAGAAGGGAAAGGCGCTCTCCACGCGTGGTGTCCGCTCTGCTCCACTCCAGGAAATTATCCACCTGGGCATTTTCCTGCTCACACAGCCTGTGGCAGAGCCTGCAGCCACGGGGAGAGACAAACCCAGCAGATCCTTTAACAGGCCACATATTTGCAGAGATGAGTGTAAGTGCAGCAGCAGCAAAAGCACTTGGGGAGGAGCAGCAGCAGCTCCTCAGCGAGGGGCTGACCCCGAGCCACGGAGTTCCAGACGGATCAGAGGATCCCTCATTGTTTGTTGGCACAGCAGGTGGTTTTACTCCACACTCACAAGCTCAGGAGAGGTTTTGAAAGCCAGCAAAACCCTCCAGAGAGCCTCCTGGCTCAAAGCCACCGCCACAACTGAGGGAGAATCCACCAGCCACCTCAACTGACTTTTCCTACCCACAGATCTTCTGGGGGGAGGCAAATACAGATCAAGATCAAGGGACACCTTGACCTTGAGGGGCTTCCCTGGGAAGGGAGGAGAAATCTGTGTTTCAGCTGCAGGTTACCAGGATCACTCTTTGCTTTTTCCCTTTAGGACCTGCAGGGATAAGCAAACTCCAACTGCCCTGTTCCCTACACTGCCTTCCACCAGAGCACCCCAGAGCACTTTCAAAGCAAACAAATTAATTCACACATCACATCCCTTCAGTGACATTAAAGGCTTTGCATGCATAAAACCAGAGGCCCTGAGGGGGGAAGAGACTTTGTTTTGCATCACCCAATAAAGGAGGCAGGACCAGCAGATGTGAGCTTTACCCTCGGGCAGTGGATCTCCCTGAAATGCATCTTTCAAACCCACCTCTGCTTCAGCTGCTCCTCCTCCTCCTGAGTAGCAAAGGCCTTCCACTGGAAGCGGGCTGTGACGCTGCTGTGGTTGTGGATCCTCAGGGTGCTCTGGTTTGACAGTGTGATGTAAGTCTGCTCAACTGTCACGGAATTCCTGTCCAGCCTGATGTGGACATTCACAGCTGACCCATGAAGGCTCGTGTGGGTATCTTCACCTGGGACAAAGCAAAGGGGAGTCTTTGCTCAGCTCGCTCGCTGCTGGAAGCACAAGGAACAGAGCAAACCACGGGTAACAGAAGAAAAAGTCACAGCTTTTGGCTGTATGAGCATTCCCAGGGATCAGGATATTTATCACATCCCAGCTGCTGTGTGTGCACAGCGTGGGGATGTCCTGGACACCACCTCAAGCACCTTATTTCCGGTGTGTTTGTGGAGATTTGTCCCCAAGGTGACAGTATTTACAGCGAGATAGCCAGCTGTGGTCGGGTGACCCACTCAGGTCACAGGGAATTCTGCATCAAAGTCATTCAGGTGACTCTGAGGAGCCCCATTCAGGCACAGCTTGCCCAGGGTTCTCCTGCAGGCATTCCAGGAGCTCCTGTCTCTCCTGGCCCCTTGTTGGTGACAAGCAAGGATGCCTGGGGGGCACGTGGGCAGAAAAGGCAGACCCAGAAGAATAAGTGAAGTGATGGCCATTATTCCCAACCAAATACCTCCTGGACACAACCTCCAGTGCCAATCCCACCCCTCCTGTTGCAGGTGGTTGTTTCCCAGGTGAGATGCAAGCAGCAAGCATCAGACATGCTCTCTAGGAATGGCATTTCTATGGGGTGGTTTCTTTATGCCACAGTGCCAGCCCCAAATGCCAAGTGCAGCAACCCAGCCTTTTATCCTGGAGGGCATCTCTCAGCAAAGGCAGAGCCTTCTCCTCACCGCCCAGGGCACAGCAGGGCAGCCCCGCAGTGCCCAGCGCTCACCTGTGCCATAGTGCACTACCAGGGATGCACAGTGATCCCCCGTCTGCAGGGGGTGAAATTCCACTGTCACTTGCAGGGTGTCACCAATGCCAAGAGTTCCCATGGTCGGAACGACAGAGAAGGGGCTGCAACACAGGGAGAGAGATCAGGGCTCCTGGGGGAGATCTGGGGACAATATTCCTTTTGCAGCTCGTTTGTGCAAGGGAGAAGAAAACTAACCACAATCAGCAGAAGGTAGAACACACAGGATGAGAAGCTGCTACTGACTCACTGCTGAGGAGATCCAGCCCTCAGGAGATCCTGCTCTCATTCCTTTTATTGCTCTATTACAATTCTATTAACACCTGAAGGTGCTTTGCACAAAGACAGAGGAGCTGCTTTACCTCTGGGTGCTGATTTGGTAACGGGCTTCCCTGTTCCCAAGGTTGTGAACCATCAGAGTCTTCTGGGTGCTGTACTTGACCGGACAGACAGAGAAGTCCAGCTGGTCAGGGAAGTCCAGGACAGCCCGGGCACCGATGGCCCGAATTGGCACAACGAACTCTTCCCTTTCAGTGGTGCAGAAGAGACAGTGGAAATAATCCTGCACGGAAAGAAACAGCCTGAGCACAGAGCATTTATCCACATCTTCACCACGGGCAAAGAGTACCCCATAATTCTGGATCCGGTGCGACCCCACTGAAACCAGATGAGCTCCTCAAAACCCAGGCCAGGTGCCCTGTCCTGAATCCAGCCCTGCAGGTTCACTTCCCCCTGAAGGCTCTGATCTCCTGGGAGCTCCAGACTCGCCTTGTTCTCCCCGGGGGTGAAGACGATGCGTACAGTCGAGCACATGCCCGGTGGGACCTTACGGCACACGCCACTGGGGCCAACCAGCTTGAAGTAGGGTGAGCTCTCCATAGTGACCCTCACCAGCCGAGGAACCTGCAGGAGAGACATGGAACGATGACTTTGCCACCTGTGGAAACAGGTAGAGAAGAGACCAGGCCACGCCCTGGTGACATCCTTCCTTAAACACCTTCCCAAAGCACTTTTGGCTCCGGAGGTGCAGGCACAGAATAAAGAAGGATGGACTTGAGTCCCATCTGCCTGGGCAAAAGCAGCTCAGCCAGAGGCAGTGGGACGATTATTTTTTACTGAGACTGGCAGAAATGTTAACATAAATGTCCTTTTATACTTGAGGAAGCATGAGTAGAGCAAATTCACTGTTTGTCTGTTGGCTGGTACTTGGCAAAGACAAATATCAGGGGACGATCCCCAGCGTGGGAAGATTCATCTTGCCAAGCAGAGGTGCTGAGGCATTTCATTCTGGATGTGCTGCAGCAGGTAACTTGCTCTGCCTACACCACAGGAATTACACTTATCTCCTCTTCCAGCACACTGTTCAACCTCCAGATCCCAGCACTTACCATGTCCCTGTTCCTCAGAACCAGCGGCATTTCACAGACCTTGTGTGGGACGTAGTTCTGAAACACCACCTCTGATGGGAAGGGATGGAACAGGGTCTGCTCTGGGTCAACTACCGAGAGCTGGAGAGGCAAGAGAGGACAGGGAGAGGTTCAGCTGCTGGGAGGAAGGTTCATGGATGAGGATCCTGCACTGACCCCAGTGCTGCCCAGCTCCCACTGGGGGATCAGCAGCTCAGCCACCTCTGCTCTGAGCTGATCAAAAGCTGCTGCACCACACAGACCAGGCTCCAGCTGTGCAGCTCTTTTGACACTCTCTTCAAATATCACATCAAACAGCAAGGAAAAAGCAGGAAAGGCTACCTTGTGATCAGAGGTCTCACTCATATCGTGACGCTGGACAATCCGGGGCAGACTCATCTCCCGAGTGCTGGCCAGCCTCTGCTTGGTGGTGAGAGACATCTCCTTCTGGAAGGCAGAGGGAGTCAGCTGAAAGGCAAAAAAAAAAAAAAAACCCAGCAAGACTCTCAGAAATGCCCTTGTTCAGAAAGGCTTTTCTTGTTCAAGTGCCACCGATGAATAATTTGTGATCACAGCCACTAGGACAGTCCTGGACCATGACAGCCCCTGCCAACAGAAGGACAGCACAAAAAGCTGGGGAGGGGGTCTGGAGCTCCACTGGTGCTGCTGGACAACGGGAGGGGCTGGGAGAGGAGGGACAAGGGCAGTTCCCAGCCTTAGCACAGCTCCTGCCCAGCCACAGTGGGTACTCACAGTCACAGGCTTCTCTGCCTCTCTGGCCAGCCTTGGAATATGAGGTGTCACCACTCCACCCTGGAATCCAGAAGCCATTCTGGAGGATGCCACGGACGGGTGAGTTGTGCCAGTGGCCATGTCTCAGCTCTCCTGGAAGGAGCAACAGTGGAACTCTGGAAATCCAGAATCCCGGTCGTGGCAGACCCAAAGGACACACTGGTGTCCAGGATGTGCATCCCTGGAGACCACAGGGCCTCCCCACCCTGATTCACCATTAAACCACATTTAAGTGGCTGAGTTAAGATTCATGGATGTAAAACCCCAAACAGTCCCTGAGATGAAACAGCCTTTTGCTGTGGGTGCAAATGAGTCACAAAACACACCTGAGCCTGATGGCATTTCCTACCTTTCCCCCCCTTTCCACTACTTTTGGAATGCCATTTTCTGGAATTACTAACCAAAACTCTATTAATATCCAAACTGTCCTCTATCACTCTTTACAGGTTTTTAGTGGGAACAAGGAGGAAAGTGAATGTCACTTGGCTGCCTCATTTTGCAAGAGCAGCTGACCTGATGTGGCTAAACAAGCCCAGCTCCCTCAAAAGGCTCGTGAGGAGGCCAAGGACAGGTAATTTCCTTTACCTGAAGACAGGTAATTCCCACTTCTCTTTGAGGATTCGCTTGCTGTAGGGTCCAATCTAGCCTTGAACCACCACAGGCCGCTTGGAGGCTGTGGATAACCTGGAAGATCATAAGCCAGCCAAGGACCTGCTGGTGTGACTGCGCTCACATCAAGGCAGCACTCAGTCACTGTCTCTGCGTTGGCAGTTCCACAGGAACCAGTGGAACCAAGAGACAATGGAAGGAACCTGGAACGGGGGTGGAACCAGACAGAGCCTGGGCAGTGAGTGGGCAGAGCCCAGCACTTCCTCTCCTCAGGTGCTACAGACCATCCAGGCACAGCAGGAGGATTTGACCCGGACCTTGAGGCAGGAGAGAGCTCAGAGTCTGGCACTGGTCAAAGCCCACTCGTGTCTCTGCTCCTGAGCTCCTGTTCTGCTGCAGGGTGTGAGCGGTGTCAGTGCATCTTCACAGTGTGCACCTGCTTATGCATATATATCAAAAAGAAATAGCCAGTGGTGTCCCTCTGAGGGTCTTGGTCACACATCCCACCTCAAGCTGCTGCCACTCAGCCCCTGCCGAGCCCCAGAGGATGCCCTGAGGCTGCTGGTTATGACCTTCCCAGGGGCTTGGCTTAACCCTTTTCCCAGAAATGGCTTTTCCTTGTTGAAATACTTTAGCTGGCAACTTGGAGAAGCCTGCCTGCAGCCTCCTGCCCTGCCAGCCCGGGGGTAGGGCTTGGAGGAGCTGTTCGTGGAACGAGCTGCTGCTGTGGAAGCAAGGTGGGAGAGCAGCCAGATAGGGGTGAAGTGAATGGGAGGGGATGGTGGAAAAGGGAAAAAAGGAACATCCAGAGCGGCATAAACAGCCAGCAGAGAAAGCTCTTTTTTTGAACTCTTCAGTCAGCCCATTGTCCCGCGGTGAAAGTCCCGGCGCCCTCGGAGCAGGGATGTTTATCTGTGTCCTGCATCTCAGCGGGCGGGAAATGATACAGCAGCGCTGAAATCATCTCCTCGTGACCTCTCCAGGTGCCCGGTCCAGCTCCTGCCAGGGATCTGCAGGAGCCTCGTTGCTCCACGGGCTGGGCTTATCCCGGAGAATCCCAACCCCTGGAGGTGTCCAGGACGCAGAGGGAGGTCACTTTGGGAGCCCCTGGTTCACCACCCTGCTAAGGCGCTACGGGAACACACTCGAACAGGAGGAGTTTGCTCATTAACTCCAGGCTGGAAAGCAGCGATGTTCAGCCGAGGAAGCGATCACTGCCACACGATGGCATCCTCTGCTGCAGCGAGAGGCAGAGAGGCCCTTCCAGCTCAGGAAACTCCGCAGGATCCTTCCCCGGGGGCGGAGGGTGGTGTGAGCTCCCTGGGGACAGCAGGACCCTTTCACGGAGCAGGAAAAGCCACGTGTCCCTTCCGCAGGGCCCCTGTCACCTTAGGGCTGGCAGGGCAGTGAGGGGCCGTTCCCGCAGGCCGGGCACGGGTGGGTTTTTTTTCCTTATCAGCCATCCGGTGAGCGCCCAAGGGAAGCGGCGCATCCTCTGCTGCCCGGGGGCTTTCCTCTCAGCGGATGCATCACAGGCTGCACCACTGCCTCGCACCTCTGCTAGAGACAGCCTTTGCTCTACCCTGTCCCTTCTGTCACAGCTTGGGGGGTTCCTCGAGGGCTCCTGCATTTGGGTTGATTCCTAAATTTCACCCCAGTGGCCCGGAGAGGGTGAACCCGCAGTTCTCTGGAGGTGTGGGTGGGGAGGATGCCCCTAGGGAGGACTCTGGGCTGTGGTCCAGATCAGTGGGAAGGGATTTGGGCACATCAGCTCTTTGTACTGACGGTTTGATTCAGTTTGGCACACAGGGGTGAGCAGGACTGCCTTCACCCACAGCCACAACAGCAGGTCAGGAGCCAGAGAAGTGGACATGCTGCCATGGTCCCAGAAAGCAAGCTTGGATAAGACAGAAGTATGCTCCCAGGCTGACTCTGGTCATCCATCCCACCTGCTGTGGGAGCAGGTTACCAGTGGGGTTATAGCTGAAACCCACAGGAGTGCGGAGGTTCTGGGCAGAGGAGAAGGATACCCTTTGTTCTTACAAGAGTGAAGAGAAACTGGGGTTGGAGAGGGAAGGGGTCCAGTGACTCCCTGGTCTGTCAGTTGAGCCAGCAAGGCTTCAAAAGGGTTAAGTGCCTGAGCAGGGAAGTGTGTGCCTGGCTTTGTTTTCCTGCCCAGCCCTGGTGTGTTTATTGTGCTGCTTCGTGCAAAGGCTCCTTGGGTGTTGGAAGCCCTGAAGGCTCTGATGGCCCCTTCCAAAGCAAACTTGCTGGGATGGAAGGGCTCAGCTCAGAGCTCGGCCCTGGTGGCCCCAGCACAGGCACATCTATCAGATCACAGCCCTGCACGTGGTATCTGCTTTTTGGGGCTGGCTCACAGGGGCCACCAGCTCTCACGGAGACACCTCTGGGGATCAGCCCCACAGCACCACTGGAGAGAGATTTTCTGGGTCTCTCCTTCACCCACCTTAACGACAAGCTCATGTGGAGCTGTTCCCACAGCCTCTGTCATTCCCACAGCCTTCTCCTGCCCGGAGGAGATGGGAAGGAGGTGAGGCTTTCCCAGAACAGGCAATGAACAGAGCTCCTTTCTTAGGGACTGTCAGCGTGCATGTGCAGACACATCGGATGGGGATGGAGGAGTGGGAAGGGGACACGTGGAGAGGTGGGGACTGTGCAGGCCCACACACGCCGTGGGATCTGTGGGAGAGGGGAAATCACAGCAGCCCAAGCAAAGGGCTGGGACCAGGACCTGGCCATTCCTGCTGGGAGATGGAGCTCTCCAGGACAGGGGGTTGCTGGCACAGGCACGTGCTGCTCCTGCTGCCATGGGAGCTCTCTTGTAGTCCCACTGGCACTGGAAGGGGCTCAGGTTTCCCCTGGGCTTCTCTTCTCCAGGCTGAACAATCCCAGCTCTCCCAGCCTGCCTCCATAGCAGAGCTGCTCCAGCCCTCAGAGCATCTCTGTGGGCTCTGAACTCCCTCCAGCAGCTCCATATCCCTCTTATCCCAGAGCTGGATGCAGGATCACGTGTCCCTCCTTCATTATGCCAGGTCATGGAACCGTGGGCGGCCTTCAGGGCCTGCACAAGGATTGCAACATTCAGGACATCTCCCCAGCTCTGCAGGGGCTCAGTGAAGCCCACGCTCTGGCAGGGTCCCAGCACGCTCCTTCCCCTCATCCTGCCAAGGTTTCACCTTTGCCAGCCAGACACGTCTCCCACAGGAGCCTTTCCCGTCCCCTTCCCTAGGGAAGAGCTGGCTCCCAGCGGCTGCCTCGCTCTGCAGGGTTAAGGGGCTCTTCTCTGTTTAGAAAGAACTTCACCCCGCTGCAGACTGAACAGCTCAGTGTTTGTTTCTTTGCACGCAGTATTTTCAAACAACTTCAAACTTGTTTATTGCAGCGGCCAGCGAAGCCCTTGGCAGCCTCCATGGGGCAGAACGAGTTGTCCTCAGTCCTGGCTGGTCCAGCTCCCAGGGAGAGGCAACAATTCCCACTGCAAGTATGTACCTTTCCCTACAATGCCCTGCTGGGACCAGCCAGCATTTTGCAAGCTCAGGTGTGATGCTGCCAGGGGAAGCCTCGGGAATGCTGGCTGGTAGAGCTGTGGGCTACTTCACTATGGAAAATACAGAGTGTCAGTGTTTAGCCTTGTCTGCTGGTGCCTGAATGTGCCCTGAATCATAGTGAAGGAGGAAGACACTGTGTTCAGAGAAGTGAAAGCCAGTGTGATGTGAGCTGCTATTTCTGAAAGTGTTTTCTTCGTAACGCAGTTTTCATGAAACGCAAGCCCCAGACTTGTCGATAGTTCCGAAGTAGGAGTTGTTCCTGCAGAGATTTTGGCTGCAGAAAGCCCCAGACAGCTGCTCCTCATTTCCTACTAGTTTCGTTAATGTGAGAAAATACAAAATCTCGTGATGCCAAACAGATTTTCTTGGTCCTCTGTCATTTAATTCTCTCCCTTATTACAGGAATGGCTCAAGAGCTCCCTGTGGGGCACAGAGGTTTCTCCAAAGCGAGAGGCCACCGCTGGCTCTAAGGAATTTTCTCCCAGAGGCTAAGTATTCCTGCAAACCTCTGGGATGGAGACCATGGACAATACTGTGGACAGCAAAGGATCCTGTCAATGCCTGTTACCAGATTGTGCTCCAGTGTCACCAGCTCCTGAGGTCTTGGGAACTCCTGAACAGACTTTCCATGCAGTGGAAATCATCAGCATTCTCATCTGATCTTCTCTGGCATCTTTTTCTGGGTCAGATGCAGGCTCCTCGCTCTCACTGACTTTTACTTTTCTCCCTGTAATCACCTGATTTCAAGGAATGCAAACCTACTGTAACAAAC